GTTGACCAGGATGGTCTCGATCTCTTGACCTCGTGATCCACCCGCCTCGGCCTCCCAAAGTGCTGGGATTACAGGCTTGAGCCACTGCGCCCGGCCAATTTTTTTTATTTTTAAGATGGGGTTTCACCATGTTGATCAGGCTGGTCTTGAACTCCCGACCTCAGGTGATCCGCCCGCCTTGGCCTGCAAAGTGCTTGGATTACAGGCGTGAGCTACCGCGCCCGGCCTCGTGATTTTTTTTTTTAAGGTTACCACGCCATCTTAAAGCCAAGTATGATGCAGTTTAATTTATGCTTAAGGGAAATGCATTTTATGCTCCATGGAACATGCTATTTTGTGGAAGGTTATTAGTACTTTTTATTTAATTACACGAGTCATCAGTATTATTTGGTTTACAACTTCATTCTAAACATCCTGCAGATGTCTTATTCTTTGTTTTCCATGTATGTCTTTTTTTCAGGCAAGAGTGTAGTGGCTCAATCTCAGCTCACTGCAACCTCTGCCTCCCTTGTTAAAGTGATTCTCCTTCCTCAGTCTCCTAAGTAGTTGGGATTACAGGTGCCTGCCGCCCGGCTAATTTTTGTATTTTTAGTAGAGGTGGGGTTTCGCCGTGTTGGCCAGGCTAATCTGAAACTCTTGACCTCAAGTGATCCACCCGCCTCAGCCTTCCAAAGTCTTGGGGTTACAGGTGTGAGCCACCATGCCCATGTGCCCAGTGTTTTTTTTTTCTTGAGACAGAATCTGGCTTTGTTGCCCAGGCTGGAGCACAGTGGTGGAATCTCGGTTCACTGAACCCTGTCTCCTCGGTAAGCGATCCTCCTTTCTCAACCTCCTGAGTATCTGGGACACTGTACATGTGAGCCAGAATGCCTAGGTAACTTCTTTGTGCTTTTTTGTAGAGATGGGATTTTGCTGTGTTACCCAGGAGTGAGCCACTGCTCTGACCTTTTTTTGTTTTTGTTTTTCTCAAGCAATTATCTTGTGTCAGCCTCCTAAGTAGCTGGGACTACAGGGGCGCACCACCACGCCTGGCTAATTTTTGTTTTGTTTTTTGACTTTTTTGTTTTTCTATTGAGACGGTGTCTCACTCTGTTGCCCAGGTTGGAATGCAGTGGTTCAGGGCTCACTGCATGAGCCATTGTGCCCAGTTTTTTCTCTTATAAAAAAGACATTTTAAAAAAAGATCAAGTTGAATATTGTAGAGTTGTAGTTAATTGATTATTGTTTTGGTTTTAGATGGAACAAGAGGCTGAGAGGCGCAGGCAGCCACAAATAAAGCAAGAGCCAGAATCAGAAGAGGAAGAAGAAGAAAAGCAAGAAAAAGAAGAAAAACGAGAAGAACCCATGGAAGAGGAAGAAGAACCAGAGCAAAAGCCTTGTCTCAAACCTACTCTGAGGCCCATCAGCTCTGCTCCGTCCGTTTCCTCTGCCAGTGGCAATGCAACACCCAACACTCCTGGGGATGAGTCTCCCTGTGGTATTATTATTCCTCATGAAAATTCACCAGATCAACAGCAACCTGAGGAGCATAGGCCAAAAATAGGATTAAGTCTTAAACTGGGTATGTCAGCATTTCCTTCCTCCTTTATTTTCTCCCCTTCACCCGTGCAAATACCTGTATTGTGCTTTAAGGAGAATTATATATTTGTGCTTGGTTAGGTAGATAGAAGATTACTAAAAATGCCTTTCTAGCTCACGATTGTTTTCATAGTTTTACTAGTGCTCCTATATCTGCAGCTGCCTCGAGTTCTGAGAAGAAGTGAAAAGTTTAATTTTCTAGCACTTGTGAGTAGTGAGTTATTTTTTACAGTTGGGATCTTTCTCTGAGATTTGTGGAAGTATGTTTTGCACTACTTTTGAGGGATGGTGGGTTATAAAACGAAACATTTGAAAATTAAGTTATCATGCTAAGAGAGTGTTTTTACTGTAGGTGCTTCCAATAGTCCTGGTCAGCCTAATTCTGTGAAGAGAAAGAAACTACCTGTAGATAGTGTCTTTAACAAATTTGAGGATGAAGACAGTGATGACGTACCCCGAAAAAGGAAACTGGTCCCCTTGGATTATGGTGAAGATGATAAAAATGCAGCCAAAGGCACCGTAAACACTGAAGAAAAGCGTAAACACATTAAGAGTCTCATTGAGAAAATCCCTACAGCCAAACCTGAGCTCTTTGCTTATCCACTGGATTGGTCTATTGTGGATTCTGTGAGTAGGAAATTATATTTCATCATGTTATTGGGAGCAGTTGGAATATGCCATAAAAATTCATTAGAAGAAAGAAAATCTCGTTTGATTCTATTAATAACAAATAAGTAGGGATGATCATCTTTATACCAACTCAATGCCATGGTCAAGAAATTAATTGAAATTTTCTTTTTTTTTT